TCCAAACTTTAGACGGTTAGGCCAAATACCAATTGTCCAACTAATATTACAAAATTCAAATAATGCTCCTCTAATGCCATACATTCTGCAAAGGTAGGCTACTCATTGCATTATTTAAAAAAAGTTTAGAAAAAATTTCAACTTTTGAAAGTTAGTCCAAAATAGAAAATAAAAGTAGAAATTAAGAGAATAAAGTTAAATTGTTGAAAGTCAGAATTTCCAAAAGTAAAAAAAAAACAGGATAATAAAATATGACTTTGACCTTCTTATCAATTTCAATAAAAAATCCTAGAAAATCAAAGACTTCGAAAATGTTTTTTATGTAGATTATTTCTCAAAATGCATTTAAAATTTGCTTTTAGAAAACCTCAAATACCATGAAATTCTGAAAATGTAGAATGTAGAAGTTTCAACTTTGCACTCAAATGTTCCACTTTATTTTCAAAATGCAAAAATAAATTAATAAAATAATCCTCAAATAACGAAAATATAGAAATTGTAACTTGGAGGTGTGTTCTTTATTCTCATAATTTTAACTTTATTCTCCTCATGCAAATTAAACCCTCCCTCCTCTCTGTGTATTCATCATGCATGGCCCTCACACTCTTTCGTACTTTCAGCAGTCAGTTTCTCTCTCACCTATCCTGCTTCCTCTCTCAGAACCTGCAGAACCGGACCGACCAGCACTTAGAAACACAGACACTAAAGGAGGTCCATCCCACACAACATGTCATGGCTGGCTGAGCAGAACAAAACCTGCAGGACAGACCCTCCGCAGTTCAACCGGGAAACACCTGCTCAGCCCCGGGGAGGAGGAGCACAGCGGGCCCGGTGCATCGTACCTCCGGTTACCGGGGATCCATGACGGTGTAATGTCCCGGTTATTCTGCTGCAGGTGATCCTCATGCACCGGCTGTTTGTCGGTGCTGAGGCGGAGCTGTGGAGCATGCGGGCCGGGGAGAGGAGGAGGGAGGGAGGAGGAGGAACCGGGGATCAGCAGATGCAGAGCGGCTTCCTCCTCTTAAAGAGCCCGCGGAGAGGAGGGCAGGGGCGGACTCAGGCTGTCTGAGGACCGGGGAGATACAGGGGTGGGGGAATCAGTCCTAAAACACAAGCATGAGTCAGCATTTTAGCACTATCATGTATAGCAGCCGATTTATATATATTATTTTAACCATAACCTGTGGTACTTTATGTACACTGCTGTAAGAGGGGTCCATTAGCTACTATATCAATGGAATTGGAAAGGAACAGTATGAAGTTGACTTTTGATGACGTTCTTGTTTTATGTTTCAGTATTTGTGACTGAAATGTTATTGCTTTTATTTAACTTCTTGATGGTTATTTCATTTTTAATTTTTTTTAAAGAAGGGGCAGGTAACATAAGATTTTCTTCTCCCTACCCCTTTCCACTATGCGCTATAAAATAATTTATAAAACACTTTAAGTGTACATGTTTTGTTTTAAAATAACTGCCATGTGTGGAATAAACAAAAAAACTATAAATAAATTATCAATGAATTTACATATTTTTTATTATGTTTTACACAATGTTCATAATATTAAAAAAAATCATTAATCTATTAATGCATTGATTTATTTGTATTATTACTATAACATTTGCACAAAATGTAGAATTATTTTAAAATATTTTTACAAAAAAATTATTTTATTTTTATTTTACAAAATATATGAGATCATGTTTTTATTTTTCATTACGTTTTTTATTTAGCTCTATGGCACTCTGTCAGCAGGTTCAGACATTTACATTTAACCCTTGTGTTGTGTTCGAAAGCTGTTACCGTTCATGGTGTTCGCGGGTCAATTTTGACCCATGATTTATCTCAGTCCAAAACACACAAAAAAAAATGACTATCATCCAATATTGTTTTAACTACATCATAACTAACTTATTATGCATTCATAACCGTACAATCCTGTTGTAATTTTATTTGATGGCCCCAAAACACATTACACCATATTCGGCAGTGGCTCAGTCAGTAGGGGCTTGGACTGGGAGCTGTAGGGTTGCCGGTTCAAGTCCCCGATCAGACCTAAAATATGAGTGTGGACTGCTACTTGGAGAGGTCCCAGTTCACCTTTCACTGTGTGCTCTCCATGTGACACCATTAAAGAGGGGTTACATCCCTCCCAATTCTTCTTCTTCTATTGCATGTGTGAGTTCAGGTTCAAGTATTACTGTACATATATTTTGTGAAAGGTTGAGTTCCCGTGGGGGGAGGGGGCGAGAGGCATGGGAGACCAGGTGCATGTTGCGAACAAATCAGACCCGAACACCAAATGATACACTTTTTTTTTTAGGGACCTTCAAACTTCGCTAAAATTTTCCAAATCAGTTTGGTAGTGTTTATATATCTGTTGTGGAGGATATCATGAAGCCTTGTTCCGATACAAAAAACTAGAGCGTAAGTTATTATATAATTTTAATTTGAAACGGGGTCACGGGAGACCCGAACACACATAAGGGATTAGGAACATTCATGAAGGGTAT